ATCCTTGGGCCCGCGGTCTGCTCACAACACCATGCAGATCGTTGAGTCTCACATACCCCGCGCGCCCCTTTTGCGCGGGGACCTCGTAGGAGGTTCGGCCCTATACCCGAAAAAAACAAAAAAAAAAAAAAAGGACAACAGTTCCCACAAGAATTAGAAAAGTAGTTTGAATGACAAAAAGTCAGCTGTAATCTGTCCGTTTACAGAACATAAAACATTCATGCAAACGTTTGTGAGTGTCCCGAATTAGCGAATTCCGCGAGGGCCCGCAATGTCCCGTAAAGTGGGTTATTATTTACGTTGGGGCCGGTTACACGAGGCAATTAACGACTGGTTAACAGCGTTTTAACCGCGCGATTGCGTGTCTTGTGATTAGCTCTACGTTATGGTGCCGCCTTAGGGTGTGTACTTTTGAAATTGCAAAAAAATGTTAAATGACCTTTAATATTGCGTAAGTTTTGGTAGATAATTAGTAATACTTTAAACACGTAAGATAAGAAACAATATTGAATTCTTATATACAACATAGGTCTTGTCTCGTAACATGTATTAGAGTTTAAAAACTTGTGGTAAGTCGTTTTGTGAGTGCGCACGAGTAGGTACCATCATCCTGTCTGTTCTGCCGTGAAACAGTCTGTTCTGCGTTTTATGATTTCAAGGGTGGAGCAGTCGTAGTAATATAAAAACTGAGATTTAGAACTCATTTTTCAAATCAGGTGGCGGCATTTATGTTGTTGATATCTACGGGTTGCGCTGATCACTTAGCACCAGGTAGACTGTGAGCCCGCCCACCCATCTAAGGAATAAAAAAGACAATGTTCATGTGTTCGCTACATATTCAATCATACACGAAGTCTTCGAGCTGCTATTCTCAATATAGTCATTATTTCAAAGCAACTGAAATTTAGTCTCAATTCTGAAGATTAGCGACTTGCATGTTGGGATAATATTTGGTTCCTTAACGATAGGAGGGCTATGATCTTCCTGGCATCTATAGTCGCAAACTTCCCTCGTGACCAAGATTAGTTATGCTTATTGTATAATATTGGAGAACTTCAGTGACTCGATACTTGACTGAATCATTAAAAATAATAATTATAAAAAATTATAAATGGAAACAATAGGACCAAAATGGCTCTGTATTTCTTTAAGCTTGTATTGGATAGGTTTGGTTGAAAGCATCCTTAGGGTTCAGGAGCACTGTGGCTGCCATCTTATCCGAACTGTCACAGGCTCTAAGCGGTGCACACATGTGTAACCGTATATTCATCGCAAGTGACAAGGTAATCAAATTGTTAATTACTCAAAATCCACATAAAAGTCTTCAAAGCACACACTTCAAGCCACATCATTTTACATTTGGTTAACACAAATTGAAATAAACTGCAACAGCCACAACAAGTTATTTGCAACACGATTTAACGGAAGTAGGCTTGTTAGTAATAAGGCAGCGCCCACCGGACACTGGAGCCCGCCCTCGACGACACTCTCAGCTTTTTATTCCCAAGTGTGGATTGTCGATACAGAAATTCTTATGGAGTAACAGTTAGACTTTTCTAACATTACGATAGCAGTTCATCGTTATGATTATTTTCAATTGTTTTTCCTTTAACGTTGTTGTTTATACAGAGCGAGACTCTCTCTCTCTCTCTCTCTCGAAAGAGAAATTTCGTTATTTTATTGCTTAGACGGGTGGTCGAGCTCACAGCCCACCTGATGTTAAGTGCCTACTAGAGCCCACTGACATTTACGATGTAAATGCGCCACCCACCTTGTGATATAAGTTCTTAGGTCTCAGTATAATTACAACGGCTGCCCCACCCTTCAAACTGAAACGCATTACTGCTTCACGGCAGAAATAGGCAAGTCTCACAAGAGGTCCTACCACCAGTAAAAGTTATCATGAAATAAAATTGAATGAAATTTGAAAGAAAATTGAAATGAGAAATTTAGATCATCAAAGACGAACAGACACCATTGCGGACTCCGCAATTATTTTGTTTTTATTACTATAACTCACAAATAGACTCAGCTCTTATAATAAATATTTTAATTTTACATTGTTGTGGCCTAGTATACAAACTCGTATATAGTGTGTTCACGCGCATGCCGCAAGATGATGACGTTGTACCAGCGCGTGGTGCCAAAGTCTGGGTCTGCGGAGGGACTTCGGTTCCCTCTGTATTTTGTACCGTATGTTCCATGGGGAGTGCTCTGAGGAATTGTTCGAGATGATACCAGCATCTCGTTTTTACCATCGCACCGCCCGCCACCGGAGTAGAGTTCATCCATACTACCTGGAGCCACTGCGATCATCCACAGTGCGTTTCCAGAGATCTTTTTTGCCACGTACCATCCGGCTATGGAATGAGCTCCCCTCCACGGTGTTTCCCGAGCGCTATGACATGTCCTTCTTCAAACGAGGCTTGTGGAGAGTATTAAGCGGTAGGCAGCGGCTTGGCTCTGCCCCTGGCATTGCTGAAGTCCATGGGCGACGGTAACCACTCACCATCAGGTGGGCCGTATGCCCNAAAAAAAAAAAAAAAAAAAAAAAGTCAGCCTCACGACGACGGCGAATGCTCGCGCAAGTGCCTCTGTCCATTTTCATACTATTTAATTTTGAATATTATCAAAAAACCATTGTAAAGCAATCAAAGTTGCTTAACTAACATAGTGCTAGTCTAGTACTGAGCTTTATATAGAAATACTAGCGACCCGCCTTCGCTTCGCTTAGGGGACTGTACTTTATTATTGATTTTATTGAATATTCTTTAACACAAATCTGGTCCTGACAGTAACAAAAATAGAACAAACAAAAAATCGAATCTTTCCTCTTCTTATATTAGTGGTTCACTATTTTGTCAAGGGATTTTTTGTAAGACTATTTGAGATAAGCATTTCCATTTTAGATTATAACGGTTTTTGCGGCGCACGCAAAAATAGCTCGCAGATAGCAGATTTTTTCCTTCTTACTTGACACTTATCGTTATATTTTGGGTAATTCACACTATATTTGTATAGATGTATTATTTTGATGAGTAAGCTTAGTGTCATATTTATTTATATCGAATCCACAGCCTATAAAATAACTTTCAAGCTGTTAGCTCTAAAAATGACCATACTTCCTCACAGCTCTTTATCCCTCCCTTTCAAACCTTTACAACCCTTTTTTCGTTTTAAAAAGTCCTATGTCGTTTCTCAGGCTCTGACTACCAAAATTCATTTAAATCGGTTCCGTAATTCTGGCGTGAAAGCGAGACAGACAGACAGAGTTACTTTCGCATTTATAATGTTAGTATGGATCATACTATTACATCAATAGCCTAGATAGGCAGATACGCTGAGGGCACAGAAGAGGTTATGCGATTATTGGAGCCAACTAACTCGATCCTGTCGCGAAACCTACACCTCGTAGTTCTAATTCCAACTGCACTTAATGTAGTAGTAAAATTATACAGGAAAACGGTACCATACAGGTTTATAACAAGTCTTTAACATAGGAATTAAGAGGTGGGAAAACAAACAAATGGGTTGACTAATAGCGCTCAAGCTCTGATTGCCCTAGAGGGCAGCTATACTGTGTACGTGTGTGTTTCTTTCCCTGAATTCAAATAATAGATCCCAATCCAAAATGACCGTCAGCGATGTGCCAAGTGAGTGCGCTAGCCGCGATGATCAGATATCTCACGGCCTCGATCCAAGTGTGACCTTCAGTTGCAGAAACCGCTCAATGAGGCTGCAAACCTTTTTGCATTTTATTGCACTAATTTAGTAAGCGAGCTCACGGCCCATCGGATGTTGAGTGGCTACAAGAGATCTAGACATGACAAAATGACGCCATCCTCCTGAAGACATGATGTGAAAGTCTCTATTTTATTGTATGTCGATCATCTCAATGTTTAAGTCGGAATGCATTACTGCTTCATGGCAGGAACAGGCAGGATGGCGGTGCCTACCCGTGCGAACTCACTCTCAACTCAACTATACTCCTTTTCACTGATTTCATTTATCATTTAAGTAATGTGTGTTTAAGTAATGACTCTACTAATGACTACAATATTTTTCAAAACATTACTCGTATAGCGTTCGTCCAACAAAGCTTCAATTCAATTGAATAATGAAACTGAATTTACATTCCATTGCCTAACTAAAAGCTCTGAACAAAAAGCTATTACAAATGTTGAAAAGTTAAATTTTTATTACAGTCAATATTCGGAGCTTCTAAAAGTATTTAGTGGAAACCGATTCAACGAACGAGTCCCATTTTTAGTAAAGCTCAACGAGAAAATTCATTTTATTTTTATTATAACACGAATTCGAGTGAAGAGCTTTCAGTTTTAAGCTATCACTATTTACCGAAATTATAAACGCACTTTAAATTATTTTAATTATCATCTTTGAAATTTGAACAAACTCCTTTGTGGTTATTTAACGATAAGTCCTCGCTCACTGCTGAGGCAGGTACGATTTTACAACGGATGTGACCCCCCTACTTGCTGACGAACAATGAAGAAAAACTATCATAATTTGTATGTTAGCATACACAATTGATGTGGTGATTATTGTGAACCACTATCTTGAATCTTTGAAGGAGTCGCATTTCGGCTTGAGAAGTGAGATAGCCAATGTAATTGACACTCTATCCTCACAACTCGAAGTAGGCCACCGCGTTGTTGTGGGGCTCCGACAACCTTCAATACAAGAAGTGCCACGATCGTGCACGAATGAAAAACATTTTTTTTTATTGCTTAGATGGGTGGACGATCTCACAGCCCACCTGGTGTTAAGTGGTTATTGAAGCCTATAGACATTTACAATGTAAATGCGCCACCCGCCTTGAGATATAAGTTCTAAGGTCTCAGTATAGTTAAAACGGCTGCCCCACCCTTCAAGCCGAAACGCATTACTGCTTCACGGCAGAAGTAGGCGCGGTGGTGGTACCTACCCGCGCGGACTCACAGAGGTCCTGCCACCAGTAAACATTGTTTGTATTATTCCAGGTGCGGTGCGCGGCGCAGGATGTGCGCTCGCTCGTGGCGGCTGCACGCCTTCACCGCCGCCCTAGTCCTCGCCGCACACCTCATCAAAGGTCAGTCGCGCGCTATACTATTACACCCTCTATGTCATGTCAGCATCCTATGCATCCGGTCTGCTGTAAAACAAACATCCGTTCTGGTTCGATCGCCTTTATGTTAATAAAATGTGAACTGTGAACTGGTGTCCTCTTAGACAGACACTGGCACTCACCGCATTGTGTCTACGAGCTCCAGTAGACATTCTACATAAAGCGTAAGCTACTTAATAAATGGCAAGCTTCCAGAAGCTGTTAAAAACAAGAAGAATAAGTTTGGTATTGTGAATGTAATTGAAATCAGTACTGATGTGTGTATTCTATATGAATGAATGATCGATCAAGCAGCTAGCGCTGCCATAAATATTGGAATGTGCATGTGTAAGCCTCACATTTCACGTAGGTACAGTGTAGAGTGTATGTATGACACCGCACGCGACACTGCGATCGGTTGCAGGTGTTCGGTGACGTGTCCCGGACATAAATAGCCCCGCGTCGGTAATGTTGTACCGCCTCATTCTTGATTTGTTCATTCCACTGTCTTTGTGACATACTGTATTTATTTGTATTTATTATTATTTCTACTATGACAAAACTTTCTTTAAAGGACGATTCAGCAGAATTTTTACCAATAAACAGCAGTAGCCCATCGACTACCTCGAACAGAGCTCGACCGCATGTTATGATTATTCAAACACTAATCGTATGATTGCAAAGTAAGTAAAAGGCAATTCAGTAACATTGTATAATACCACTGAAAAAAGTATGACTCACTTTATCGTCAGTGCGTTAGATATATTATATCTTATAAATTATATATATTAATATAATATAAATTATAATTTATAAATGATATTATATAAGTGAATGAATCGGTATCTCGTAATCATTTCAGATAATGAATATCCTTGGCACATATACAATTCATAGGGAAATCGAGTTCCCAACTGCAGGAGCGCTTCAAATGCTAATTTTAATTACAACGATTAATTAACATACAAATCGATTCGAAGGACCCGGTTTGTAGCCGGAATTAATTCGCCTATTGGAGTACATTGCGGGGCCGAAGATAATCTCGTAACATTCGACACTCAACTTCTGCTACGATATAACTTCATGGAACAGAATATTATCTATAACTCAAATTGATGTCGTCTGAACATTTAAATATTCATTAAGTGTAGTGCTTCTGGAATGTTCTCGAATAATCTGGAACGTTCTAGTGTTTACTGCGGTCATATATTACGAGGTAATATATGGCATTGCTGAAGTCCATGGGCGACGGTAACCACTCACCATCAGGTGGGCCGTATGCCCGTCTGCCTACAAAGGCAATAAAAAAAAAAAAAAAAAAAAACTTGAATTTATTTGAGTGCCTCTGTGCGATTTAATCGTGAAAAAGTTGAAATTAAATATCGATTACTTTCATCGAATCTTTCACTTTTTATTATAATACGCTTGCGCCCCGACATGTCTATAAGAAATCCTCAATAATTGAAGCTTATATCAATCTACACGGTTTGGACGGCAACTATTGCTCCCCAACCCAATATATAGGCTTTTTACATTACCTGACATTGCTGAAGTCCACGGGTGACAGTAACCCATGACCATCGTGTGGGCCGTACGCTCGTCTGCCTACAAGGGCAATATATAAAACAAAACTTAGCTGGCCTCGTTGGTGTGCTTATTCGAGATCCGTGTTAGATATCTTTTAGTATTTATTTGAGGATCTGGAAATATGTATTTGTTATTGTATCGTATGAATTAAGCATACCTTTTTTTATTGCCCTTGTAGGCAGACGAAGCATATGGCCCACCTGATGGTGAGTGGTTACCGTCGCCCATGGACTTCAGCAACGCCAGGGGCAGAGCCAAGCCGCTGCCTACCGCTTAATACTCTACACAAGCCTCGTTTGAAGAAAGACATGTCATAGCGCTCGGGAAACACCGTGGAGGGGAGCTCATTCCATAGCCGGATGGTACGTGACAAAAAAATATTCTGAAAACGCACTGTGGATGACCGCAGTGGCTCCAGGTAGTATGGATGAACTCTACTCCGGTGGCGGGCGGTGCGATGGTAAACCTATACCAATTGGGAAAAACTTAGCTCGACACCATTAAATGTAGGTTAAAATATTTCAATAAAGTAACGCTTTTTGACACAGTCTTCACTTACAAAGGCTTCCCCTTTTCAGTTTTTACGGACACAGAATATTTCACGTTTCACACGAGAGCCTAGGCCGGGAATCTATGAATTCTAAATTAGTTTTTGAATTTTTAAATACGCACTAGAATATTCAGTGCATATTTGGTAATTTTTTGTAGCACTATAATATTATATAGCATAATATGTACCTACATTCATATGTATATCTTGACTACATACTAAGAACTTGTTAGGAAGATTGCGACTCGCTCTTCGTGGAATGTTTTGTTTTGTTCTTCAATAGAATATTAATTCCAGGCTATTCTTTAATCGTAGAAGTTTTACTACATGTGCAGCGGCACAGATCCGTAATGTAGGTCAATCTCGGAAACCTAATATAATAAGACTAGCTTTTGCCCGTGACTCCGTCCGCGTGGAATAGTTACTTTGGTAGGTATTTACGTAGAAAGTAAAGATATGTTTGAATTATAGAATGTTACGGAGCTATTTAAACCCCTATTTTGAAACCTTCTTTATTGGTGCTCCACTTGTATTGGTCTTAACATGATGTTATAGCTTCCTCAATAAATGGGCTATCTAAAACTGAAAGAGTTTTTCAAATCGGACCTGTAGTTCTGAAAACGTGCGCCCCTGAGCTGACACCTGCGCTAACGCGTTTGTATCGCCTCTCTTATTACGCTAACAGGGTTCCGTCTTCATGGAAAACCGCCCACGTCCACCCTATCCCCAAGAAGGGTGACCGGTCGGACCCGTCGAGCTATAGGCCTATCGCGATAACTTCCTTGCTTTCCAAGGTGATGGAGCGAATAATAAATACACAACTCCTGAAGTATCTTGAGGATCACCAGCTGATCAGTGACCGACAGTACGGTTTCCGTCACGGTCGCTCAGCTGGCGATCTTCTTGTATACCTTACTCACAGGTGGGCTGAAGCCTTGGAGAGCAAGGGCGAGGCTCTTGCTGTGAGCCTTGATATCGCGAAGGCCTTCGACAGGGTCTGGCATAGGGCACTTCTATCGAAGCTACCATCTTACGGAATCCCCGAGGGTCTCTGCAAGTGGATCGCTAGCTTTTTGGATGGGCGGAGCATCCTTTTTTATTGCCCTTGTAGGCAGACGAGCATACGGCCCACCTGATGGTGAGTGGTTACCGTCGCCCATGGACTTCAGCAATGCCAGGGGCAGAGCCAAGCCGCTGCCTACCGCTTAATACTCTCCACAAGCCTCGTTTGAAGAAGGACATGTCATAGGCTCGGGAAACACCGTGGAGGGGAGCTCATTCCATAGCCGGATGGTACGTGGCAAAAAAGATCTCTGGAAACGCACTGTGGATGACCGCAGTGGCTCCAGGTAGTATGGATGAACTCTACTCCGGTGGCGGGCGGTGCGATGGTAAAAACGAGATGCCGGTATCATCTCGAACAATTCCTCAGAGCACTCCCCATGGAACATACGGTACAAAATACAGAGGGAACCGAAGTCCCTCCGCAGACCCAGAGGCTCCAAACGATTGA